GCGCCCCTACCCCTTCTCCCCGCCCCCCACTCCACCGTCACGCCGCGGGAGGTCAGGCGGCTGGGCGCTCCGGACCCGGGGAAGGACGCTTGCAGAAGTGGAAGGGTCGCTGCGCAGCGGGGCTAGTGCATCCGCAGACGCCGAGGCGGGACCCCTCTCCTGAGGACTAGGGAGCCCGCGGGTCCTCAGTGGGGGTGCGGGGCAGAACTGGCATCTCTTCCGACACCGAGCCCCCCTAGGAGGGGATGGGTGAGGGTGCTGGCGCGCTGAGACACAAGGAGCCACACTTCTTAGCCGACCTGGGAGGCCCGTGGCGACTGTCCCAAAGCTCTTCCGCAAATCCTGGCGCATCTCACCCGGACTCTCCTGGGCTTGCCGAGCCGGAGGAGCCGCGGGCGCGTGGCTGGGTGGCGAGCGCCCTCTGCCGCCTCCCGCGGCTCAGCCTGGGAACGTGCGCGCACACGCACGCGCGCCTCCTTGCCTGGTCCTTGGGGCGCAGAAAGGTTCCCAACCCTGATGAGCAGGTAAAGCAGGTGCTCGGATCCTGGGTCCTGTGGCTTCAGCTTCGTGTTCCTCCTCAGCTGCCTCCGTCTCTCCCCCACGAAGAGCAAAGGCAATAAGGAAAACGGGCTGGCACTCCAATATGGAGGCAGCAGCCGAGGCTCAGCGAACTGCTTTGTATTTTGGCAAAATGGTGGCAAAAGATCCAGTAGGAAGAAGGGGTCTCTGGGCTGGTGCAGAGCCGTGGGGGCGCAAGGGTGGGATGTTTTTTGGCACAACTCCCAGAAAAAAAGTAAATCTGGGGGCTGCCTGAGAGGAGGAGCATCTTCCCTGGGCTGTAGTTGACCCCCTCCCTACTTCCATCCTGCCTGCCTCCCCCAAATACATCCCAGACACAGCCCATGGGGTGCCAGTGGAAAGCAGAGTTGGAATAAGAATACATTTCAGATTACCCCGCTCCCCCCACCACACACCCCGCCTTCAATGAACTGCCTGGCTCCTGCTCTGCCTCAGGCACCTTCTCCCCACCCACAGTCCATGTGGCCAGTGCCACCCTGGCCAGCCTGAGCAGCCCCCGGGCACTGTTTGTAGACCTTCACAAGCCCCTAATGTTGTAAGCCCAGCCTAGAGGCCTGTCTTGTATTTATAGCCGGCAGCTCCGCATGGCTCCTCCGTGTGTATAAATAAGCATCAATCCACCACGGAAAGCTGGCCTCCTTCAAAGGACCAGGCCTTCAATCGAGGGCCCACTAGACCTTTGCTTCTGCCTGCCGGCCATCACAGGAGCAGAGCATGTACCTGCTCCCGGGCCCACAGTGCCACAGCCCTACCCAGGCTCTGATGAGGAGTACTCTGTCTCCCACCCCAGGTGATGGGTGAGGCGGGGCAGGGGTGGTATTCTGCATTCTGATGATAGATTCTCTCTTAGTCTGGGACCATCCTCGCCATCCTACCAGATGGCACGGTTATGTTTTAGATCCCAAATGCCAGAAACCTGATTGTGGGGGAGAGGGCAGAGCGGGGGTAGGGGTCTTACTAGGCCAGCCTCCAGCTCCCCTGCAGGCCACAGCCCGCAGCCATCTCCAGCAGCAGCTTCTGTGTCTGCACAGCTAAGGCCACCCTCACCAGCTAGAGCGGTCCATAGCCCTTTGCTCTGGAGGGCCGCAAGGCTTGTGAAGCCAGGTGTCTGACACACACACACACACACACACACACACTACTCCCTGATCCAGCGCACAGAGAGCCTGGGTACCGGGGCCACAGGCCAGGCAGTGGGAGGGAGCCACTGTTCACCACGAATACCCAGAGGAGGGGCATGTCCCCAAAGGAGCCCTGGGGCTTCCATTGAAATGAACCCCAGCCTTCTGTCTGAACCGGCTTCCTTAAAGGCCAGAGGCTCTGGGGCTCTGCAGGGCCTGAGGCCAGGGTTACCACATCCTCCTCCCCTGCAAGCCCTCACTGTGGGGTGTTCTCCAGGGCCTTCCCTGAAAGAGGACTATGGGTTCACCTACCCAGGTGCCCTGCTTGCACCTCTACCAGTCCAGGAGGAGGCGGTCAGAGATAGAGTCTACGGGGCCGTGGCCTGGGAGCTGGAGCTGCCTGCCAGCGTCAGCAGCGTCAGCAGCATCAGTGTCCAGGCGCCTGACCTCAGCCACAGCCCAGGGCCCTGTGTCACCTTCCTCTCCGCCCCACCCCCAGTCCAGGGCAGTGGGGGTGCCAGCCTTCCTCTAGGTGGTAGGTCAGTTACATAACTCAGTTCCCCTCCTGGGCTCTCCATCGCCCCCACACACACAGGCGCTGCCTGTGTGTCCTGCTCCATCCTCTTCCCCCACCCCTCCTCACATCCCCCCACCCCCTGCCATGAGGCTGCCAGGTGCAGGAGCAAGAGCCCACCCAGCAGGTCCATGGCCCGCTTTCTTCAGCCTTTCCCAAACTAGAGCTGACCTGCCACCATCAGCCACCATACCACAACAGAGTTCACGGTCCAGACCTGCCCACAACTGGAGCTGCCTAGAAGATTCCCAGCCACATCTTGGCATCTGGACTGCATGGGGAAAGGCGCAGGTAAAGGCCATTGGGGCACAGACAGGCACTGGACCCCCTTTCTGGGCCCCTGGACACATCTGAGTGCTCCTCTCTCCAGGCCTTCCAGAGATTGTTTGCTCTGCTGGAAACACCCTCTCCCTCCCTTCTCTGTGCTTGGTGGGTTCCCTCTCAACCCCTCTTCAAGATCCACCCACCCCACCCCCTTAAGCAGATGGTCTCCTATTCTCCAGGATCAGTGCACCCACTTTAACCCTCAACTTCGGTCCTCAGAGGTAACTCTGTGCCCTCCTTCCAAGTGGACCTCCCCCTCTGGTGGCAACACCTGACCTAATTGTGAGTGGGGAGGGGACAGTGACTGTGGGCATCAGTGTATGCCCAGGTAAAGGTGACAAGAGGGACATCCTTGGGAAGAGGGGCCACCAGGAGAAAGGTGATGAGATCAAGTTTATTGTGCCAACCTGGCCGATACACACAGGTGAGGTTAATTGAAGGGCGGAGAGATCAATGGCTCAGTGAACCG